ATCCATCTTGTATTCAGTAGTTCGAAATCCATAGGTAGGGTATCAAGTTGAAGTTTTAATTACATTTATATAGCCTCGCGGCAGAATTATTCAGGATGGTGATACCTATTTTCCGTGCTAACAGTACGCCTTGCCACTAATCATTACTTGAATTTATAAATTTTGCAGATTCAATTGTTATTACGTAGCGAGATATGATAGAGCAGATGTGATTGGAAAAATCTAAATGGTACTTACGAGGCTTTCAAGATAATCTTGCTTTAATAAGATAATCTTTAGTATGATCTTCCTTAAGAGATTTGTAGCTGCCTACGATAATTGAACACAAGCATAGCATATTGCTTGATCCGAATTCATTGGTCGGCTTATCCGATATGTGGGCGTATATGAGTTCATTACATCAATATCTCATTGTCATTATTGCTTTTATTGTACTCAAGAGCCTATAATTTCGGTATTCACTTTCAAATTAACACGCCATGTTAATTTGATACTTTTATTTGTTCAGACAGTTAGGTATAGTATAGGTACTCAGGGTGAAGTGTGTTCGCGTTTTACTATTCTGTTATTATTTAGTAAATGCAAAACATCTACCAGTTCCCTTCCAATTCCGTTTCTGTTTTATTAACATTCACAGCCATCCAATTTTCAATTCTGTTCCCATACGCAATAGTCGAATTTTCTTTATCGTCTTCCATATTGATACCAATACGCGGAGGGAGTATTGTTTTGTTTCCAGAGCATTCAAATATACCTTTTGTTCAAAACGCGAAATATAATAATGGAATTATGCTTTAACAACGATTTTAAAATTTTACTTCAAAGAGCTAAGGGTTTTTATTCTATAATATTCCCATTTTTCTGAAAATTGTTATCAATGTTTTGAATGTTTTTTTTTTTTTTTTTATAATTAAATCATTTTAAACTACAATTTCTAACAGTACAAATACTTTACAAATAAGACTGTCGATATGGCACATAAGGTGCGGCTTTTACGTTTGTGGTCCCTTGTAGCTTCAGTGATCACTGAAAACCAAGTACCCCATGAGTTCGTTGAACTACATACATTAGCCTATGATAGGATGCAAAAAAACGGAATTAACCATCGTATCTTAATCGAGAAAATAGTGTGCCAATTACACAAAACACTAATTATTAAATAGAAAAAAGTTGTAATGATTTCTAAGCGAATGTAATTAGTTAAAAATAACAACGATGTAATATTGAACAGAAGTGACGCTGAAGTTTTTAGTCAATTTCTCTTTTGACACAATTGAATTTGATCGTCAGAGATAAATCAAATTTCTGGGCACGAAGGGAACGCTACTTCCGGGGTTGCTACGTACAGGTATTCCAGGGCTGTGATCGAAAGCAAAATGACTTTCATCCACCAAATCTGAATATTAAGGATTCACTCTAATTTCTATGACACCGAAGAAAAGCTATGCAGGTACAGTTTTTTTTATTGCTTAGTTGGTTGGACGAGTTCACAGCCCACCTGATGTTAAATAGTTACTGGAACCAATAGACATCTACAATGTAAATGCGCCACCCACCTTGAGATATAAGTTCTAAGGTCTTAGTATAGTTACAACGGCTGCCCCACCCTTCAAGCCGAAACGCATTACTGCTTCACGGCAGAAATAGGCAGGGTGGTGGTACCTACTCGCGCGGACTCACAAGAGGTCCTACCACCAGTGTCTACAGTGTCGTGGAATGAGCCAAGCCACTGTTAATCACAAATTAGTTAGAGTTTATTAGATCTAGACAATCATTATGTCTACTATACCTTAAGCATTGGCTATATACAAGTCATCTTGTAAAATTAAATATTGTTTTTGTAGTAATTTTCGCTTTCAATACTGAAAATTGAAACTTAACGTTACCATAACAGGAGGACTTAAACATGTAATCAACCAACTAAATCACCAAACCCTCTTTAAGTTTTTCGCTTGAACCAAAAGGACGACCTCATTCCTGTCACAGTTTAAACAGTCTTTCTCGACCTAAGAGTAAGTTTCAACGATACTCATTATAACATGCAAATTGACCATCTCCGTCTCAATGAACAGATGATCCTTGCGTCGTTTCATTACCATTATTAATGAGTCGAAATATTCATCAGCATGAGTTTATTTATTTGCGGCTGGATTTTCTCGAGTTCATATACTGGCTTCCCTATTTTAGCTGTGATATACTTTTCTATTCGGCGTTTTTTTTTTATTGCCCTTGTAGGCAGACAAGCGCACGGCCCACCTGACGGTGAGTGGTTACCGTCGCCCATGGGCTTCAGCAATGCCAGGAGCAGAGCCAAGCCGCTGCCTACCGCTTAATACTCTCCACAAGCCCCGTTTGAAGAAGGACATATCATAACGATCGAGAAACACCGTGTTAGATGATCTTTATGTATGCTAAGTAAGACAGAACAGTAGCTTTGCAACTTTATAAAAAAAACATGATAACAACCTTAAGTTATTTGCGACAGCTGAAATAGGACCGCGGATTTACCTTGACGACTTCGCCGACTGGAAATCTGAGGTGCGCCACTTGTCTGCTTGCAGTATTGACCGTAGTAATTGCTCTTACCTCTCTCGCAGGGGAGTCTTCTATTAGGTGGAATTTAACATCATGAGTCCCAGAGACAACACGCGTCTCCTCGGCGCGGAGATCCGACCCCCAGTCCGAAACAAACCCTATAATTATGGCATTTAAGATCCAAATAACGACAGCAATTTTACTATTTTTACACTAAATGGCTCATATGGTTTTAGGTATTCAATTGAATTTGTCGTCGTCGTGGCCTAAAGGTTAAGACTTCCGGTGCATTTCTATCTAGCGATGCACCGGTGTTTGAATCCTGGATATGATATACGGACTTAACAATTGTACACGATTGGGTTCCACGGTGAAGGAATAGCATCGCATAATAGTAATTAAACCCGCAAAATTATAATTTGCGTATTTATTTGGTGTTAGGAGCTCTTGTGAGTCCGCACGGGTAGCTAACACCACCCTGCCTATTTCTGCAGTGAAGGAATAATGCGTTCCGTTTAGAAGGGAAGGTGGCCGCTTTACTATACTGCGACCTTAGAACTCACATCTCAAGGTAAGTGGCGGCATTTACATTGTAGATGTCTATAGGCTCCAGTAAGCACTTAAAATCAGGTGGGCCGTGAGCTCGTCCACACACCTATGTAATAAAAAAATATAATGAAAACACTGCGTGTGTGTTGTGTATTATCTATAGTCGGTGGTAAAATAAGTGGAGCGTCAACAGAACGATATGACCCCGCAATCTAATACACAAGGGCGTTGACCTCGAGCTTCAGCTTTTTAATTACCTACCAGACGGTACTAAAGACTCTTATTCGAATACTAATATTCTGAAAGTTATTTAACATCATCTCGTTATGAATCAATAGAAATTACACTCGTTTCTATTTTCTTAGATCAGTTCCTATGCCCGGTACTTTTGATTCATATCCTATGTACGTTATTGAGTTTACAAATGACCAATATTATTACACATTGTCTATCTAATCCTTCGTTTCGCAAAGTGGGCGATAACGCCCCCTTGTTGGCACTGCAGGCCTAAAGGGGGGCGGTAAGAGATCCAGAAAAAAATGGGGGCGTTGTATAGAGGCTTGGGAGGCGATTTGTAATTTCATCTAGGATGACTCTTAGACACTGACTGAGATCTGGCTATAGTTGTTTTTAAGTACCTAGGTGAAAAAGTGGGGACGGCAAAAAATAATTTATTCTCAAAGTGGGCAGTAGACAAAATAAGTTTGAGAGCCCCTGATCTAATCTATAATCAATGTATTAAATTAATGGGAAAATATTCCGATGTTTTTAACAGCTATAATTCATTAACTTTGTAAGTTAAGTTAAACTAGAATAACGAATCCCAAAGCTCACTGAATCAAAAGCAACTACAAAATCTAATTTCGTATCAAATGATTAATCGCTCCCACGTGACTTAAAAAAGAACATTAATCAATATTATATCTAAATAAGTGACAAATAAAACATATTTTATTGTAACGATAAGATCAATTCGACGTTGTGAGAGGTTATTAGTGTCGAGTGACAAATGGGAAATGTTGAGTCAACGATAGTATATTTTAGTTTCTAAAAGATAATACTTTAGTGAGTTTAGTTATTTTTATTGTGCAATAAATAATATTATCTCACAGATAAAGTATCGTAAATTCAAAATATTATTTAATCTGCTTTGTACTAACAGACACGACCATGGCATGTTTTATATAAGTATTTGCGGAGTATAGTATATTAAGGTACACTAGGACTATCCTATTTCTACCGCAAAACATATCCGCCGAAACCTAATAATAAATAAATAAATAAATAAATAAATAAAAAAAAAACCTCGCTTCTCAAAAATCTGCCTTAAAAAGTTCTCAAAACAACAATAACTGAAAAAAAAGACTATCGCAGATCATATAATATTATACCAGTATTTACCAGATAGATTACAAAAATAATAAAAATAATCAAATAGTTATCTTACATTAATAAAAAAAATGTGTGTACGTAAGTCACACACGGTAGAAGTGAAACTTATAAAAAATAAGAATAATCGCAAGGGTCAACCACCAATCACTCCGCAGTGCAATGGAGCAGCCTCACCCTGGGGGAACCGCCTGCATGATCACGGTATCTCTACGCCAGGTAAGTATGATTTAGCAAGAGAAATCCGAGAACGTCTATCAACTGTGTAACATCTCGTCATCGCGATTCAGGAATTGTTGAATTTACGTGCAGCGACATCAGTTAATAACAAACTAAATAGAAATAATTGTAAATCATCTTTTATAGTATGAGGTAGCGCCCTCTGTGAATCGATATTTTAACTTCACGTTAAATTTTTTCGTTTCATCGAGTTTTAAATCACACCCAACGATTCTAAAGAAGTTTCACTTCAAAAAGAGCTAGGATGTTGCCTAGTCAATGCTCTAATTTCGAACGTTGTTTTGCAGAAACTAAGTGAGCGACATGAGAAGACTGAAGCGACCGATGGTGTCGGCGTTTGATCGGTGTTGATGGTCGAGCCTGATGCGAGCATGGCGTGGAGACGGGGGCCCTGCAAAAGCTTCGCCATCAGCGTCATACAGATCATCACTATTATATGTCAAGGTAATTCTTAATTATCATGAAATTTGATTAACATCTATGAAAAAATTGCCTGCTGTTTGATTTACTATTTCAGTGTACCAGGTCTAGCGCTGATCGAAAATCGTGAGGTTTCATCGTACCTCTTTCTTATCTTCGCATCGGTCTGCTCTAGCAGGAGCTTTCTTTTTTTATGAATATAGGGTTACTGGTGGCCCGGATGCCTTTCCAGTTCACCAGAACAGGTGGGTGAGCAAAGGCTCAGAGAGGAAGGGACAAAAGCTAATCTAATTTTCTGCCTAACACCCTAACTCCTAATAGAAGCGCAGCGTATTGAGAAAATTATTAGTTCCTATTTCTGCTGCAATATAAATAATCTTGTGATGTGGCTTAAAGAATGTAGGTGTGGTTGCAACAATGCAAGTGCGACTTTAAGGTTTAGGTCCTTGGGTATTTTTCTTCTTTGCCATCTTCGTCCGCCAATTACCATATTTTCTACACGTCCCCTAGATTCGGGACCCTGTTAGGAGGTCCGGCTCTCGGCACGAAAAATAAAGTACGTCTCATCTTTACTAAATTTACTACAATATTAAACTTTTAGCGGTAGGCAGCGGCTTGGCTCTGCCCCTGGCATTGCTGAAGTCCATGGGCGACGGTAACCACTCACCATCAGGTGGGCCTACAAAGGCAATAAAAAATAAAATAAAAAAAACTTTATAATAATATCTTTATACTCTATTTCCAAATAAACGAGATTACAGCATACCTGGTGTTAAGTAATTACCAAAGCCTAGACATCACATCATGAGCACCACATTGAGACTTGAGTATACCAGGATATCATAATTTTAGGGCCATGACCACTTCCAAAAATGTTCTTTACCTTGTGTTTAACCTTGTAACAGACGTCATCGAATAATTGTCTCTCAGATATGAGTAACACTTGACTTCCATCAAGCAACTACTCAAGTTTCCATCCAAATAACTTACAGTATGTATCACATATATACTCATTTTAGTTGGAAACTCCACAGCGCGAGTGCACCCGTTCTTCAACCGACTAATTCATCGCAACTCGGATGTGAGTGAAGAGATTTAATTACTCAAGTTGAAGGCCCTTCAAAATATTGTCTTCATTAAGAGCTCGTGCCCTTTGAGACTCGTTTTATTTGAAAAGTTCCTCCGTAATCTTGGAACTTAGTTAGCTAGTCTATTAACGTTTGTGACGCTTGTCGCATTAATGTTGACGCGCCGAATGGGTACCTGAATGTTTGCGCTTACTGCCATACCTCGAGATGTGAGGCTGTGTATTCACTAATACCAGTTAGTGGTCCCCGGTAGTCGGAATTCGACTATAATTGATGGAAATAAAAATTTTGTACACTTATATGATTCTATTGTCAAAGACTATTATACTTCTATAATCACAGATTTCGCCAAGATAAATATTAATAAAGACAAAACAATATTAAAATTTAATCTATTCGCATTTTGATCACATACTATAACTGACAGATTGCAATAAGAAAAGTTTGACAATAAACAAATAGTAGGTATGCATGCGTGTGTGTGTCAAATACATGGCACTGTGTGTAATGTTTTTTTAATTGATTTAATGTGTTTTTTATACATAATTAAAAAAAATATTAACATTCTGCACTCTTTTTCTATATTCTCCATAAGTGTGGGGAATTACATAGTCCTCCGTCCACGCAATTTTCGTAAAAAGGGATACAAAGTTTTTGCTTCACGTATTAAATAGATATGGAGTGTTGGAAATAAGGTGTTGCTGTGAGCTAGTGAGAGCTGGCACCCAACTTCATTTATCATGTTTCCAAGTGTTCATTTCAAGTCCAAGTCAATATTTCACCTATTCTCGGCCGACTGTAAGTCATTTATTCGGGTCGTCCGTCCATACCAGGTGAACAGGCCTCGCTGCAGCCAGCATTTCATTACCCATACACATAGACGACGGCCTGATAACAATCGCTTTTAAAAAAACTCATTCGTTCACACCTACATTCTTCACCAAGTATTTAAAATTTACAACTTTAAGTATATGTTTTAAAAATGTCATTCGCAAAAGTACTTTGATTTCGCATCAGTAGAGACAAACGTTTAATCCCACGCTGCGTAAATGAGATTCGAAAAACTTAAAGCGAAAAAATACAAATAAAGCCACAAAATTTCAAACTAAGTTATAGGTTTGCAAAAGTAATTTGTTTCAGCTTATTTTCATTACATATAATGCAGTTTGCTTGTAATTTATAAGCGTGTGTACCAGTTAACACACTTCACATTAAGTTCCTTGCAGTCGATGCGCATGATTCTTCTATTGTGCAAGTTATTTCATATTTAAAAACACATACTTGGTGCGAGTGTGAGTTATTTATTTATGCGCGAAATGTACAGACAAAATATTTCAAGCTATATATTGAGAGAAAATGATTCTCAATAGGAAAGAAGTGCGTGTGAGAGAGAATCAAAAGTAATGAAAAGTATGATAATAATTTAATACAATGAAAGAGTTCAAAGGTATTAAAAATATTTATAGTTGAACTTGCTAACCCGGTAAACGTTGTTTTGCCATGTACATTGTCTCTAGGAAATATCTTTTTTGGGTGGCCCACCCTGAACATTTAGGGGTATGAAAAATAGATATCGACTGATACACGATATACACACAAAATTTCATAAGAATCGGTTGAGCCATTTCGAAGGAGCTTGGCAACAAACACCGCCACATGAGAATTTTATATATTAGATTTTCAAATGTCGCAATAACTAATTTTTTAATCAAAACAATTTAATTAAATTTGATTGTTATGTCATCACATTATAAATATGTCAAAAGCTAAACATATTGAGCATACCTGTTTTGTTGCTTTCGCATGTTTTCTTGTATTTTTTTTTCTTTTAAAAAGATAAACTAATAACAAATTTTATATGGTAGTGGTATTAGCATTTTTAAAGAGGCTAATATTTTTAAAGGGTAGGGTATCTTGTGAGTCCGCACACTTAGGTTCCATCTCCCTATTTTACCGTAAAGCAGTAATGTGCTTCGGCTTGAAGTGTTTGACAGCCGTTATACTGTAAAATCGAAATTTAGAATTCATGTCTCATGGTGGGTGGTTGCATTTGCGTTGTACTTTTACTATGAGCTCCAGTAACTACTTAATACAAGGTGGACTGAGAGCTCATTCACCCATTTAAGCAATAAAAAATGCAAAACGTACTAACAATAAAAATACAACAAACATTTAATTCATAATTCGTGTTTTCTAGTAATCAATCATAAAATAAGCGATATAAATATTTTATCATATCCCTAGTCAGAAACGAATGAGGCTCCATTTGTCATACAATATTAGAATCCAAAATGTTTCTTTTCAATCGTGAATTATTTACGAAATCCAAATAACAATCAAACTCGCCGAACGTTCGCTTGACAAAGAAACCAAAATATGTTTTTTTTTTTCATTAATTCTTGAATAAGATCTTAATATCGCAGCGACGAAATAATCTTTTCCGACAAAAAAATAAATTATTCGTCTCACAAGTAAAACCCGTGGCTGACGTCTGTGAACAATACACCTGATATTTCTTTTAGGTAAAATATTATAACGTATACGTAATATTGTCTTTCATAAATGTAGATGACTAGTGTGCTCAATGCGAGTATTTAACGTTCTCGATAGCGTAAAAGTTAACTCAAATTTGTATGGAGTTGGAGCATTCGCCTACGTTTGCCGCTAGAGATGCTGTTTCACCTTCAAATTCAGCACTATGTCTTGTTTTGTCGTGCGCACATAACTTATGTTGCAAGCCAGATTTTGTTTCTTTTTACTTGTGTTTTTTATGTATCTTTTTAACTTGTGATGTGTATTGTGAGCCTAATAAATAAAGTCAAATTTAAGTTAACTTTTACATTATCGAAAACGTTACAAAGCTCGCACTAAGCACACAGATTAGCTCTCGGTACAGACAAGCAGTTACTGAAGACCAAACGATAAATTGAATACGGTAACCTTCACACCTGATTCAGAAGTCCAATGAGATTTATTTGTTATTACTACTGTGCTCTATATTAAGAAATGTATGAATGGCTTACGAACACAAAAGGTCAGAAGGCCAAATCCCATGCAGGCCGCATTGATTTTAGCGACCACACCACCAGAGGAAGAATGAGAAGGCGATCTTGGTTTAAACAGTTACAAAGAGAGACAGGTACATTACAGTGCATTCAGTAATAAAAGCAGCTAAAGGTGATCAAGATCACGTCTATGTGCGTCTGATAAATATCCGAACAGACTGCTATCACTGTACTGTTCTATGAGTAGAAAATATAGTTAGAGCGCACAAATATCACATTTTTAAAGCTGGCGCCCGTCTTAACCCCTTGACCGCCATGTAGGTCACCGGTGCCCTACGTAACGCAATGAAGCAGGTAATTATTTCGATTTCTGTTGCTAAGCGCCTGGATTGCCTAAATTTGCCTTCTTATATTTTTAATGTATGTATGCTTAAGTTTTTTAGATCTCTTTGAAATAGATTCATTCTAAGTGTCTTCGGATTCATCTTTCCCGGAGTCCAGTCAGTAAGTATCTACAGTCGGCATCATTGCGAGGCGGCACGACACGTAAATGCTCTTGTCGTGGACACTGGGAATTACATACCCGATCCTGTAGACTGAATGGTAAATAGTCGACGTCGCCCAAAGCACGTCCCTTTTCACGGTGCTTTTAGGTACCACAAGCACCGTTCACCGTCCTCGTCAAAGCCGTCGCTTGCGACGAAGGGCTTGACGAGGGAATTAACCCATAGACACAGCCCACTGAGTTTGTCGCTGTATCTTCTCAGTGGATCACGTTTCCGATCCGGTGGTAGATTTTGCGAAGCACTGCTCTTGCTGGGGCGAGTGTTAGAAACACTTCGGTTAGAGCTCTGTGAGCTCACCTAAATGTTAGGGCGAAATAGCCTCTTAAGGCTATCAGCACAGGTAGGGAAAAAAATCCTGGTGTCTACTAGATATTCCGGCGCCTTAGTAATAGAAATCGATATAATTAATTCAGTGCGCCGAGTAGGGCACCGGTGACCTACATGGACGTCAAAATGTTAAAGCTATCATATTCTTTAGATCTCAACGAATTAGCATATCGTGGTAGAGCTCATCACAATGTTATTGAAAATATTGAAATAATTACCACACAAAACGTGCAAAATCGATTTGAAATTTACCTAATGTTGCGCATTAAATAGGTACCCTAGACCCAACATCCAGATGAAATGTCAAAAACAATACAAAGATTGCTCTAGATAATAGTATCGCTCATCAAAATACCCGTTCGTCGAACTACGAGCTTCAATAATGAACACATTTCGCGTACTTGCTGATCTAAGTGGAAAATGACAAGATATCAGCATAAGCAGTTTGCTAATGATTCTAACAACGTAGCTTAAATTTACTATAACGACTACTATAGGCGATTAATTAAATTGTGCGATTTTTACTGGTGGTAGGACCTCTTGAGAGTCCGTGCGGGTAGATACCACCGCCATGCCTATTTCTGCCGTGAAGCAGTAATGCGTTTCGGTCTGAAGGGTAGGGCAGCCGTTGTAACTATAGTGAGATCTTACAACTTATATCTCAAGGTGGGTGGCGCATTTACGCTGTAGATGTCTATGGGCTCCAGTAACCATTTAACACCAGGTGGGCTGTAAGCTCGTCCACCTACAAAAGCAATAAAAAAAAAACACAACTGCATTTTCCAACAAAACACTGTCTTATGTAATACTATATATTTAAATAGATCCTTGGTCTGATTTTATGCCCACGACATATAATTTAAGAGGCGGTAATGTGTAAGGCCCGAGGCTTCCTTTGTGCGTTGTTAACACGATATATTAAATGTAACTTGAACTAATGATTAGACCGTCAATGTAAGATGTCTAACAGTTCATTAGGTCGTGTGCTAGTTATGATATATTTATATTTAACAGCTTAGATAAGCAGAAAAATAAACGAAAGTATAGTACTGTGGTTGCTCAGGTTTCTAAATTTCTCTATTTGTATCAATTGATATTTGATAGGTAATGATTGATGTAAAATTACTAATTACTTTCGATAGCTCGATGAGCCCGTGAGCGTTTTTGCGTTTGATCGGAACCCATGATCATAAAAAAGGGTGCGTGTACTTATGTACGTGCGTAAGAAGTTATACTTTATATTTATTTATATTATATTTATTATTATTTTTTTTTGTTTTTATTTCAATTTTAATCAATTTGAAAAAAAATCGATTAAACAACATCCTTAAACACGCATATTGGCCATCCCTTTTCTTGACATCGTATAAATTCGGTAATTCTCGGTACGGTTCGGAAAGTTCACCTGCGGCTATATTCAGACTCGCCAAGTTACGTCGGTCGTATTGTAATGAGCGATTTAGTGGGCAACTTCATTCTGTTAATTTTGTGTCACGGTGCGCGCGCATCGTAAAATTTCACTCTCATCAATTTTTCATAACGCGCCTAAAGAAGTATAACTACAAAAAATAAAAGTATTCGAAACGTAGGAAATTAAAAATTAATATAGTTAAATTGAGGCTTATGCTGCAGACGTTAAAGAAGATTAAAGTTCTACGATTCGCGAGAGTCTAAGACTTCACTGATCCATTTAAAATTCATTCATGATTCATATACATATATGAATATACATAATATAATGAATAGAATGAGAATGCGAGAATGAATACTGGTGGTAGGACCTCTTGTGAGTCCGTACGGGTAGGTCCACCATCCTGCCTATTTCTGCCGTGAAGCAGTAATGCGTTTCGGTTTGAAAGGTGGGGCAACCGTTGTAACTATACTGAGACCTTAGAGCTTATATCTCAAGGTGGGTAGCGCATTTACGTTGTAGATGTCCATGGGGTCCAGTAACCACTTAACACCAGGTGGGCTGTGAGCTCATCCACCCCTCCAAACAATAAAAAAAAAATAGAACAGAATTTATATTAATCTATTTGTTTACAGACGTTGATGGCTTGTTCACGAAAACAAAAGTAAATCAGTTTTATTGCTGATTACAAGTTCTGAGAATTAGGGTATGCATATATTATTTCGCTATGAAAGACGAAAATAACACGAGTAAAACCGCAGGATATATTTAGCAAAGTATAAAAATCTATAAATAGTGAAATTCACGTGTAACCTCATAGAACAGTCGTAATAACGTTTATTCAGCCCTCACTGGGTTACGATAATATTATCGTTGATCTGTTACAACGAGGGTGATGTTCATTTTCACATTTAGTTATTTCAAATTAATAATTTATATGGGAAATATGCTCACGGCCCATAGGTCGTCGTTTTTGTATCCTACCAAGCTAAGTTTTCGAATGTTTTGTGATGAAAATGGGTAGGGAATCGGGTAGGAAAATCCCGAAGAGAACACGAAATATATGCCTAAAGTTGATGAAGATAGTGCTACTACGAACATATGACGGACAAACAGAAGCTTGTAGCTCCACAAGACTGGACTTGCTTACCTGCTGATTAGTAATATTGTACATCATCTTAGATATTCTCTGACAATAATATGTTATTATGTGAATACAGTAATAGATTATTTCGATATTTAATTCTGACACAAAATCACGAAAAACTGGAGCTGACACCATATTAATTCTAGACGTGACAAGATTTGAGAAACACATCTCGTTTAAGTTTTCAAGATACCAATGATATTTAAGTTTGATTGGTATCGAAGTCAATAGTTGTTGAATCATGTTCTTATGAAGTCTTGAAGATACCTTTGAAACATAGCGCCCGCTGGAAAATAAGTTTGACTTATTAAACTAACACCATAACATAGCTTTCAAAGAAATTGCTTTGAAGTTCGAGTAGTTTTTAGATTTTTTTAATTGCACAGATGGGTGAACGAGCTCACAGCCCACCTGTTGTTAAGTGGTTACCGGAACCCATAGACATCTACAAAGTAAATGCTGCCACCCACCTTGAGATCTAAGTTTTCAGTTTTTACAGTACAACGGCTGCACCACCCTTCAAACCAAAACGTATTACTGCTTCACGGCAGAAATAGGCAGGGTGGTGGTACCTACCCGTGCGAACTCACAAGAGGTCCTACCACCAGTAAAAAAATAATTTACGAATTTCAATTACGCTAAATTCGTAGTAAAAGGACACTTTTATTAACATGTTTTATTGATTTTGAATTGTAACCGTGAAAAGTTATCTTGGCTGCGCGTTTACAGGCTTTTTTTTATTTTTGACCACAGAATTTTTCAGATCTAGCCTTTTTCTAGCTTATCGTTTGAGGAGAGGTGCTTTATTTGCAAGTATAGTCTCAAAGATATGAAAAAAATAACTATAATAATTCCAATTCACAATTGCTATCTAACATTAGAAAACGATGTTATTCGTATTGAAATAAGGTTTCCCAAAAATATCTAAATAAGTGTATTGTTTCAGTGCTAACAGAGGAGCCTCGGTTTGCCGAGCCCATCCCTAACGTGACCGTGGCTCTGGGCCGAGATGCCAGCCTCCCGTGTGTCGTGGAACATCTCGGGACCTATAAGGTGAGTACTGCAGAGTATATAAAAAATATGCCGTACGGTAACACACTTTTTAAAGTGAAACTTCTTTAGAATCGTTGTGATTTCAAACTCGATGAAACGAAAAAATAAGTCCATAGAGACACAAACACATAAATGTATGGCCAGAGAATGAGATAGAACACATTATACGTGAAGTTAAAATATCAATTCACAAAGGGCGCTACCTCATACTGTAAAAGATGATTTACAATTATTTCTATTTAGTTTGTTATATAATATAGAATTCCTGAATCGCAGTGAGGGGATGTTAGACAGTTGATAGACGTTCTCGTATTTCTCTTGCTAAATACCTGGCGTAAGGATACCGTGATCATGCATGCCACTTTAGGGGTAGGCAGCGGCTTGGCTCTGCCCCTAGCATTGCTGAAGTCCATGGGCGATGGTAACCACTCACCATCAGGTGGGCCGTATGCTCGTCTGCCTACAAGGGCAATAAAAAAAAATGCAGGCGGTTCCTCCAGACCCCAGGATGAGGCTGCTCCATTCCACTGCGGAGTGGTTGACCCTTGCGATTATTTTTATTTTTTATAAGTTTCAATTCTACCGTGTGTGACTTGAACACACACACTTTTTTCATCATTATTGTTGAGTATCAACTACACTTTAGAGTACATGGGACTGCATTGTGGTGCCGCAGAAAAATGCTTTAATTCACTGAGGACGAGCATCAAGTCTCCGGGTAACGGAATGAACTGCTCTCAAGAGGTCTCACAATAGCTTAAAATGTACGTCAGAACATTTCCCACAAAACTTACAGTGTGAAACGATTTAATTTTCCTTTGAAATGGAAAGTAGAATATGAGTAAAACAATTTGAAGATTGTGTGTATTTAGAAGTACTATTAACATGGTTATTGACCATATCAGTTACTCATTAAACTAAATGATTATACATGAACCATTTGATTGATAATTATTTAAAAACATTGCTACCTTACCTATTACCAACTAGGAACTACGTGAAGTAAATTTTGCTCAATTCAAACCGTAAGTTCATCAAGTTTTACAGCTTAAAGTTCTAACTTCTAACTTAGGCAACGCTAGAAATCCCGGTATTTACTTTTCAAGTTAATTTAACTAACTCTAGTTTATTTTCACGCAGTTCAGACCACCAGCACTCGCCGAGTGTTCTAAGGAATTGGGCTCTGATTATTAAATAAAAAAACACCTTCTAGACACCTACTTCTACATAATATCTATACTAATATATAAATCTACCGTGGTTTTTACGGGTGTTCCGTTATAACTACTGAAGCATGCATCGGATTGACTTGAAACTTGGTATCCATGTAGAAAGTACATATACTTAATGGATAGGCTAATATTTATATGAGTGTTGGACTCCCTACATTAGTTGCGGGGGCGTTAATGATTAGAAGCTTTGTGGGGGTGAGAAATAATAATGTTAATTTTAAATGCCCAGCGAAGCGGACGGGTACAGCTAGTTAACATATTATATTATTGTCGCAGAATGCAGACAAGTATGTGAGCCTAAAGATAGGGAGTGATGCTAATGGACATCAACAATGCCAGAGTCGTAACGAAGCTTCCACCTACTTTAGCCAGTTAGGGTTCTTCTAATGCCTTTTTTGACAGCCCACGCTTGTATGGACATGACATACGGGTCTGGAGACCATGGACGGAAGGCCGGGAGGGGTCCGGGAATAGAATTTTTAAAAATGTGTTAGAAATAAGCCATGATTAACTCAGATGATTCTACACCGAACATTCTACATCGAAAATTACAAAATTTTCAACTAGTTCATGATATTTGAATATTATTGCAAGATCACGGGTAAGCTTAAGACTACAGATACGATGTTAAGAGCAGAAAAATCTGTTTACGCTCTTCGTAGGCCGTTTTTACGGGATACCACTGAAACTCGACAAGTCGTCCCGATAATACACACTTATGGTATCGATTGGTTTGATATCTTCAGTCAAATCAATACGGTTACATAGTAATATTCACCATTGTAACTAATCAAGATGACCCTGCTCTCCTAATAAACGAATTGTCAATTAAAGATCGAGGCAATTAACTTTGTAGAAGTATTTCTTGAAAATTCCTAAAATAAAATCATCCCTAAAGTATGTACGTATCTTAAACAAAGAACATTAAGAATTTAATTTTCTCAATTCTTCACACACAGTTGAAGGAAGATCGCGAGGGCAGATTTCCCGAGGGGTTAGAAGGAACCGTCACTCTTACGAGTGCGAGTACAAAGTTTATCGTTTTGCGTTTTCCATAAAATATGATGTTGTGTGGTTCAATATTGTTTCAATTTGACAACTTTAAATGTATAGGTATAAAGTTATTTATTACTTCATAACAGTGAAAGTTTGGCCTCAAACCTTGACTGTATAATTTTGATACTTTTTGTTAATTATTGAAAATAATTTATTTTTCAAAACACTTTTTAATAATAATTTGTACGTATATCTATAGCTTTTAACGCTTAAATTACATAATGACTATAGTTCCTTTTCGTGTACATACATACACACGAAGTGTATTAACGTCAATCCATTTTGAAATACATTCATTAAAATTGCTACGTCACGATTGAATTGTAATTCGGCGGTCGTAACCACCTATTACAAATTTCAATGAAAGTATGCGAGATGGGAGAAGATTTACTGTACGAAATCAAACATTGGGGCTACGTCATATTATTTATTATGTAAATAACCTTTTTAGCCGATCTTAAATCAAATATGATCATGCCTTCTGGTAAATTGATACATTGAAGGTATCTCGCCCACGTAATCTTTTAAGAATATTATGAATACGCACATTACACGTAACTTTATATGTAATTGTGTGACGAGCAAAACTAAAATTATGAGTTTAAAAAGTAGGATAGCCGCTACGCAGTACAATAAATTACTTCCGTTGCTTACGAGACGCAATAACCTTTTAACGCCAAGCGAACGGTGCGCTCATCCAACTATAATCTATCGTAATATAAAATAATAATTCAATAAACGATGAAGTTACACACACAATCAGCAAAGTAAAGCTCTATCAAATTAAGAATCAACCATCCCTTAGAAACGGAACAGCGAAGACCAATATTTCCTTCTTAGCAATTTAGAGACCATGATAAATAGTCAGAGGGGGTTTTAGTGCAGTAATTTCAGGCAGTATTTCACTGAAGCTCGGTTATTCATTAGATTACATCATAGGTACAGGTAGAGCGTGCATTACGAGAGTAATTACTGTCGTTTCAGTGATGCAATAGTCAGCAAGTGCACGCTTGGATCTTGTGTTTATAAATTTGTGTTATTTCATATTAATGTTACATTGTATTACATTTTCGTAGTGAGGTAAAGTCAAACCGTGAAAGCTTTTTAATCATTCAATAAGGCTGAGGCAAACCTGAGACAGCATTGTAGTGGAGTTTAATTGGAAATTTTGTAGATATAGTAACTACATGTTTCGTCATTATAATTTTACATAACAGTAATGATTATGATATTAATATCTTACATATACATTTATACTTTCAATACAATAATCACACGTTATCAAACGAAAGAAAGTGTATCTAGTTAGTTTTAGTTTTGTAAATTATAATTGTGATGTTTTTAGCTTAACCACCGCAAAAAAAATGGTAGTCCAAAAGAAAACATACGTACGTACTGCTACTTCTACGACATGGTATACCATGTATGTATGTACTGCATGCCCTGATTATTTACTTTTTTATTATTTAGATATAATGGATATATTAATAAATGAACGAGCTTATCTACGTACCGCGATTACTTACTTTTTATTATTTGGATATTTTTATTGCTTCGATGGCTGGACGAGCTCACGGCCCACCTGGTGTTAAGTGGTTACCGGATCCTATAGACATTACAACGTAAATGCCGCCATCCACCTTGAAACATGAGTTTTAAGTCTCAGTTTTTACAGTACAATGGCTGCCCCACCCTTCAAACCGAAACGCATTACTGCTTCATAGCAGAAACAGATAGGGTGGTGGTATCCGTGCGGACTCACATGTCGTCTTCTACCACCATTGGGACATTATGATATCTAAAGGTTTGTAGTGGCATTTACGTCTTAGATGTCTATGAGCTTCGGTAAAAAAAAATGGTTACTAAGCCCTCGAGACATAAGATCGAAGTCACAGTTGAACTGTGAATCTGGTCTCTCACCATTCGAACCGGAATCCTTTGCGGTAGACGCAGGTATGTTACCTGCCAAAACAGGACCTGACATCAGTAAAAATACAGAAGAAAAAAAGACGTGTGGCACTCGGAGACTGCCGCGGTAAAACTATTGCATAGCATTTTTTTATTTTTAATGCCACTCCAATCACTGAATGAGTAGTAGGAGGAGTAATAAAATTCTTCGACTAAGCGATAGAAAATGGCACGCCCAACGCATTGTAATGTGATATAATTTTCTATTTTACAATTCCGTTTGTCGCCGACAGATGGCGCTTGACGCAAAAGCTGAATCGCGCTATCGTTGTGTTTCCCACAAAATTATATTGATAGTACATAGATCGGTGTTTGACTTCTAACTTTAAACACTACACAAGCGCAACGTGTGAATGTGTTGAACGCGAGCTACATGGTAGGGCTAGGGCGTAGTGAGGGGTAGAAGGTTTTTTTCGTAACGGAATTTCACGATTCCGCTCTCAAGCCGCACTCAAGGCTCGCGATAAAATCTATGCAATAGCTTAAATAGTACAGAAACAAAGCAAAATTTAAACAATATCTCAACTCGAAGTACGTTTATAAATCGTGAAATCACACAACGAATGCACAGCGCTATTTAAGTTATTCATGAACTTGAAAGCTCCGAAGCTCGTTTAATATGAATATTCCAGGAATTTCAATTAATTAAAGGGTTTAATCAACCGTTTGATTTAGTAATGACGACCACAATACTAGTAAACCTCTGATAATGAACTAAAGGTTAATTAGGTCGTTTCAGTGTTT